TAAGACCATTTATTTTCTTTCTCGCAAAAATATTTTAATAAATACTATTTTCCTTTTCACTTAAATTTATAAATTCCGATCAAATATTCCTAAAAAAACATTCCTAAAACTTAAATAAACAATCAATTTAAATTTCAGAGTCTCTGCTCAGGTGATCTGGAATATATTTTGTTAGAAAAACTTTTTCTTACTCATTCAATCGATAAGGGTTTTAATTTCTTCGGTTTCTTGAAGGTATTCAAAAGGTGCAAGAAAGATCTGATTTCTGCAGAAAGTGCAAAACAGGCATGCTGCGTATGGTGTCAAAGGTCAGACGACTAGAAGCTGGAGTTCACTTTTGAAAAAAGGTGAAGAATATTCAGAAATGTGTTTTTTTGTGGGTAAAACATAAGAAAGAAGCAATGTGGAGAAGGACAGAAGCGCAAACTTTGGAGAACAAAAGTAATCAAATATGTGGCAAAAAAAAAATGGAAAGCATCCAAAAAATAGCAGGAACGTCGCCAAAATTTCTGTTTGCAATATCTAGAAGAGGACTGAAGAACCGTGAGTGCAACTGGCGTTTTAATTAACTTTCACTTTTGATATATATTATATAAAAACACATTCTCCAGAAAATCGTGGCACTAAACAACTAATGAAAATTAGCGTTTCCAGTCCGTAAGGCCAGCCATTTATAATTTTCGTCTTATTGCAAAACTGTATTTTTAGAACTTAAAAATGTGATTATTTTCAAGATAGTTTAAAGAAATAATTTCTTTCTAATTTTTATTTTAAAATGCTTGATCAATAGTAAATTTTTTTGTGTTGAGAAAAGAAATCTAATCACATATATTGTAAAAAATTTTTAACCTTTGCTTTCTAAATACATTATCCGATAACATTCTGCTCAATAAAAGCTCAAAATACTCCATATATGGTAAAATGTGACTATTATCATTAATTAAATAAAGAGTTAATTTATAATTCAAATTAATTCATTGCGAAATAAAATATCATGCAGATGTTCAAATGATTTTTTCTAATCCAAGTTAAATTCAGGAGTTGAACTGAAGAGTTTATTTTATTAAATTATTGAAGATATTATTGGTATGGTTTTAACCAATGGTAACAAATTCTTATTGTATTGTGTATAATAGGAACATAAATGGAGCATTGTCGTGGTGAAGAATCCAATTGTTGATTTTCCACAAATCTGGTCCTTTCTTACGGATGGACTCACGCAAATGCCGCATAACGCCGAGGTAATATTCTTTATTGAGGGTATGACCCTCTGACAAAAATTCGTAATGAACAACACTGCGGTAGTCGAAAAAAACAGTGAGCATAACTTTAATTATCGAGCGACTTTTGCGCGGTTTTTTGGGTTTACTCATACTCATAAACCCATGTCTCATCACCTGTTATGGTGCGTTTCATGAATGTAGAGTCGTTTCCATGCTCAAAAATCATTTCTTCACACGCGTTCTTTCGGTATTCTTTTTGCAAAAAATCAAGGTATTTCGGTACAAGTCGAGCTGCAACGCGTCTCATGCCCAATATATCAGGTAGAATGTGGTGAACGGATCCACACATCACACGACGATCTTCCAGCACAATTTTCTTTGATTTCGGTATTTGATGTTGATGGACGTGCAGAATGAGGCAAATCTTTGTTCACTTCACGATCCTCTTTGAATGATTTATACCACTCGTATGCCTTCTGCACCATTTTCAATGCTTGAACACATGAAATTTCGTTCAAAACACAAAATTTCAAACAAACTCGTTGATCAACTGAATTTTCCATAGTAAAAAAAGCTAAATGCACTTGAGGTAGTCTCACATTAACAACTGCTGTAAACAAACTAATTGACAGATGGCGCTCAAATTTATACCATATGTCAAGAAAGGGTGAACCAACATAACAAAAAAAAATATTTGAAAAAGGTATATTACTTAAAAAGTAGTTAACAAACAACAAAATCCGGGTATTTTTTGAGGTATATAAATAAATTAAAAAGTAGTAAATAAGCTTTAGCTAAAAAAAAGAGAGATCCTTGAAATATTTTAATACATATTATATGATATAAACATTTTTTAATTTAAATAAATTTTAAATTTTAAAATATATAAATAAATTTCGTGAAATAGAAACAACTTCATTAATCAATATTGTTTATTAATTATTATTATTATTATGTTAAGCCTTTTTCGAGTTAGTGCATCTGGGCACTTTTACTCTATGATAGCTGGGAGGACTCTGCAGAGTCTCACCCGTCTCACTGACTAATTTCAGTATTCCTCATAATCTTCGTTATTATTCAATGATTGATCTAAGATTTGCGTACCGTCCCGTACGGTTAGTGATTACTCTGAGATTAGATAGTGCTAAGTAGGGCAGCCAGTCGGTTATCGCATATAGCTTCAGGGCTCTGTCCCTTTGACCGGATCTATTCTAAGTTCTCTTAGCATGTCATTCGTGTGGATGTACCATGGTACTTTAAAGAGCCTTCGGAGAGCCTGACTTTGAGCAATTTGTAGTTTTGGGATGGTAGAGTCGGCAGCGAGAGAAAAAAAAGGTTGGTGTCCCGCAGCCTCAAGTTATCAACAGCTACTACCGACACATGGGCGGCGCCGATTTATATGATAATGGAGTTGCTAACTACGGTATCGGGAATAAAAACAAAAAGGGGTGGTGGCCATTATGGGTACAGTGTTTAGGAAAGTCACAGTGCAGCAGAAGATGGAAATTAACCACATGTAACCAGTATGCACGCTCCCATAAAAACTTAAAATCGCTACCACTGTATTGTTCGTACACCAAAAGCCACGGTTTTTATATATGAAAAGTGCGATTTAAATGGTTATGTAGAATATTGCTTTAAAGCTTTCTATGAAAATAAAAAATATTACCTCGATCGAAGACAATGACGCAAGTAAACTTTTTTATTTTTCCATAATATAATACATATGTAATAATTCAAATATATTTTTTGATTAATAATTATTTAAAAAGCATAAAACATTGAATTTTATACTTACACGTCTTTTATACAACTTACAATGATCCTTACTTTACCATAAAAGTAACTAAATACCATATTTGCAAAACACATATAAAAATGTTTGTACTATCGGAGAGAGAAAAATATGCTATGGTCCCGGCTGGTACTTAATGGGTTAAACCCCGTCCGAGTTAGATTATGAAAGATTAAGTGCATTATCATGTGAAACTTGAAATTCTTCTACAAAATATGACTTGCACTAAAATGACTCAGCAGAATTAAAGCTAAAGCTAAAATTTGTACAAAACAAGTCTGTATGTTACATATCTCGATGTATAGGAGTATAAAATGTTTAGAAAGTTATGATAAGCAAGGATTTTATTTGCTTAACGCCATTAAGACTTTAAGAAAATGAATATAAGCAGAAAAAGTTTTAATAAAATCCACAGTTGAAATCTAATTTCGGGCTTTACTTGATAACAATATTTTATTCCTAAGCAGAAATACTTAAACACAAAACTATCTTGCTCTCCGGAGACAATTCTACATTTTCGATATTATGCTCAACAACTCGAAATTAATCTTTTTAATTAACTTGTGCTTAGTTTTAGCACAAGTCAAGTTCAGTTCTACATAATTCTGGTTTAGTAAACTGATAAGTGGATGAATTGATTGACTCATCCATAAAATATTTGTGCCAATTTGTAGACACAACACCAAAATAGAAGCTGATACTTGCAAAGATAATGAACATAATGATCTCTGATGGACTTCCGTTTGCACAGATAAGTACTCGTTCAAGATCTTCAAAGTGAAAGCATAAGGTTTGTGAAAGCTGATTTTGATTTGAGTTCAATTAGTTAGAATTTGACTCTTAATTGTGTTAGATGATTCTATAAACTACGTTGCTCTGTGTCTAGATAACTTTAGTATCAAAAGTATCATTCGCAAAGCCGTGAAATCAATAATTTATCACATTAGAAAGTAAAAGTGTATTCAGTGATGAAGTCACGCGTGCTTGTATTACTGCTCTTAGTCCAGGTAATGTGGGTTATCTCGAAACCGACGGACTCAATTGATTTTGTGAGATCAAACAACGTAATCGAGAATGACGTGTCTATAAATGTGCCAGAAAATACAGATTTACAGTACCGAATTGAATATGCAAAGTTAATGAAAACATTTATGAATGAAAGTGTGAATCCGTGTGATGATTTTTATGAGTATGCTTGCGGAAATTGGAAAAATGTTATTGAAGAACGGTACACCGAACACAAACGAAGCAATGGTAGAGATATTAAGTATACATTAAACGATGCCGTAGAAAAGATGTTAAATGATTCTGTTGAAAACTTAACAGACGAATATGCTAATGAGTTTAAACTAGCCCAGCAGTTTTATCAGTCGTGCTTATCAGCTGATTTATACCCAACAACAATGTCGCAAGTATATATTGATGTTATCAAATCGATTGGGGGTTTTCCAGCTATTGATAAAACTTGGCAATCAGACAACTTTAGTTGGTTCAATATGAGTGCTCATCTTACCAACTACGATGTCAGTGGATTAATTAAGGAAGATATTCCTAAATTGTATCCATTTACACCTACTATTGAATTACCAGATTTAGGTTTTGATTATATAGTTGACAGTGATAATATAGCTTCAAATAAGACGCAAAGTTATATAAGTAATGATAAGAGTATGCGACATTACTTAAGTGCATATGGAGTAGAAGAGGGGAAGATATCACAAATCGTAGATGAAATCTTTGATTTTTGGCGAGAAATATTAAAAGCAATGGATGAATTTGAAGAGTATGCAAAAGTAGATGTAGAACCATTTTGGCGAGATTACATTGATATAGCTTGGATGGGTCAAAAATTCAATGAATCCGTTAGGAACTACTATCATTTTTCTTCTCTTTATAATAAGTTGAACACCGTCTGTAATGAACACAAAGAAGCTGCAGCGAATTATTTAGCACTGAAATTTTTATATGGAATGGACGCTAAACTTAAAAAGAAGGAATTCCAAATGGAGTACTGTCTCATGGATACACAGTACACTTTTCGATTTTTGATCGATAAGCTTTATTTAAAGGTAAGTGACACTGGTTTTACCATGTTATAAAATAATCCTATAACAGATAATGAAAATCACGAGTATTCATTTTCAGAAATATTTTAATGAGCGAATAAAAACTGAAGTTACAACATTAGTGAAAGAAATACAGAAAAGTGTACGCCAACAAATAGAACAAGCAGAATGGTTAGATGAAAAAACACGCACTGAAGCTTTATTAAAAGAATCCACAATACAATCACGAATTGGAAATTTCGATGATCCGATTATGTCTGAACGTCTTATTCGCCAAATAAATAACTTAACTTTTGAGCTAGACAGCTACGAGCAAAACAACTTAAACTTAAAGAAATTTAGATCATTTATGAACCGATATCTTGGTCTACATAATGAAGACATTCATAATGAAACAAAGCCTCTTGAAGCTTTAATAGGAATGCAAGTCAATGCTTTTTACTATCATATCGACAAGTCTATATATATAATGGCTGGTATTTTACATCCGCCAGTTTATCATAAATCCTGGCCGAATTCTTTGAAATTCGGTACATTAGGTTATCTTGTGGGTCATGAGTTTACACACGGTTTTGACACAGTTGGCGCACTGTTCGATAGCAATGGTGACCAACGATATTGGTGGACGGAGGAAACTGAAGAAGTATTCAATAATCGAACAGATTGTTATGAACAACATTTTAATGACTACTTGATACCAGAAATAAATCGCACAATTAACGGATATCTAACCAAAGATGAAAATATAGCAGATAATGGTGGACTTCGTGCCGCACTTAATTCGTACCGCAAATATATGAAAGAATTGAATAAGGAAGGTGATCTGATGACAACATTTAAAGATGAAGACATGCCTGGTCTAAATTTATCACCAGAACAAGTGTTCTTTGTAGGATTTGCACAATTGTATTGTGCGTCGTATAAAGAAGAACACTATTGGAAAGAACTTATCGATGATCACCCTATGGACAAATATAGAGTTTTGGGTACACTAAGTAATATGGAAGATTTCTCTAAGGTTTATGAGTGTCCTCTGGGTAGTAACATGAATAAGAAAGAAGAAAAATGTAGAATTTGGTAAAATGTTTTTAATAGATTTGGTCAGCAGAAAATTAATACAAATATGAATAAAACTCTTGATGTCCAATTCCTTTCAATTTTAAAGAATTTATGTATAATAAATAATTATAATAAATAATTTACGTTTTTCTTTTTAATAATTTATTTTTTCATATAATATAAAATGTTTATGTTTAAAGGAAGTAATCAAAACAAAATATTTGAGGTATAAAATTATAGATTAGGTTAGGCTGGAGTGGTGTGGAGTGCAGTTCTTGGACCCAAAGCTTATTTCGGCTCAAATAATGTGATAGCATTGTTCATACGTAGACTAGACTCGCCCCAAAAACACCACAGTGGAACAACACAGAACGGCATGACTCCACCAATTCAGTGAAAGTGAACTAACCTGGCAAATTTATTAACTTCTCCAAGTCCTTAATTTTGCAGGACGATAGATAGCTCTATCATTTAAGTAAGAAAGGTCTCCCCGAAGATTTTGAAACTTCTGGGTTTTTATGAAAATAGACAAATTAGATGAAGTTTAGAAAATAATGGCAACTTTTTGCCATTATTGAGCGAATCATTTTTGGTATGTCTTCGAAGACTTTAGAATAACCAACACGGTTTTAAAATGATTTCATTTCATCGTTTTTATATAACTGACAACAACCTAACAACCTACCTACCTACCTACCACTTACATATATGTCATACAAAATGTAAGTAATACCCATAATTAGAGACTTACATATAATTTCCTAAAGAATCAATAATTCTTCTAGATCTGACTCTATTCGGTGTTTCTCTACAGATATCTTTCCATTTATATCATGCTTCAGCTAACTCGTTTTCCACCGTTTTTCATTTCGTTTTTGAAGGCGCATCAGGTCTTCTGCTGCTTTGTGGATTCCATGCCAAAGCTTGACCCCCTATGTAATTCCTCGCTTGACTAAGTGTACGGCCTATTCACTTCAGCAGGCGTTAATTTGCTATTCGATCTGGTTACTATATTTTAAGAATTCTACGTAGACGCTTGTTGATACACATTTTATTATGTAATCCTTTACTAATACATTTAAAAACTGTTTATTCATTCTTCATATATATGTCTTGTATTAACAAGATTGGATTATACTCTATTTATTAATTAACTATTTTTATTATTCACGGTATAGTGTATCTCAAAATTTTATATATTTACATATATATAACGTATTTATATTTTATATATTTAAATTTTAATTAGCTGTTGCTTTGAATTTCGCAACAAGAAAAAAAATAGAACAAAACATCTTTCTCCCACAAAATACAAATGATAAAATTTTATTTGAAAAACTTTTGTGCCAGAATATCACAAATCTTTCAAACAGTCTTCTATGCAATCTTTCTGAAGTCTTACGAAAGGCTTCGCTAGAATATTCCGCAGTAAAAGTCTTTATAACCTATTCACAGTTGAACTCCTTATAGTTACAGTTGTACTCGTAAATATAAATACCAGACGTTAAAATAATAAAGATCGTTTTGTTTTACTTTTTATAACGGTACTATTATGTGTTATGAAATTTATTTCATCTTTACTTTATACATATTATGGGTCAATCATAATTTTGTTACGCCGTTCTTATTGTAGGAATATATACTAGTAATTGTTCCATGAGTCGTTGCTGGTGTATGGGATATCCCAAACATCATCCTTATCGGATGACATAACTTTTTGTGTGTACTTAAGGTTAATAAATGTCTGTCAATAGTATGGACCTCCATTTGCGAATACGTTTTGGATAAATCAATTTTTGTAATTCTCCCGACGGACATAGAGCTAAACAATTGCTCTGTATTTCTTAGCCATGAGAAAACAAACATTTTTTTTAGTTTAAAATCATTCTTTGATGTTAGTTTTTCATTAACATTAGTGTCATATACTCTCTCTATCATTTCCTTTTGCAATACGTATACTCCCAACCATTTCTTTGGAATTCTGTATAGATTTTCTCTGCTCCTTCAAAAGCTGCTATCATAATTACCGCTTTTTTCAATTTTAGTTGTTTTTTTCCAGCATTTTATTTTGCAATTGGCCATTGAATAACCCAAATACAAATTGATTATGTTTGAGGTTATTGATTGACTGGAAACTGTTCATAAGTCTCTTTTCGATTCTTGTATGCAATCTGAAATTCTCTAATATTTCGTTCAGCTTTAGGTTAAACAATTATTCTAGTACTGCCTTAATTTCAAAAACACCTAATTTTCTGTTTAGTTTAGGAGTATTCTGTCTCAAACTATATTTTTTGTACATGTATGCACCCATGAAATATAGGATGAGTTGCTGTTTATTTGTGCCGTCAGCTCCAAATAGTTCCATGGCCATTTGCAGCTGCGTTACCCAACGATTCTATTGCTTTACTTTTCCATCAAAAGCTTGAAAAGTAAATGCATTTGTGGTATTCTTATTTTGGAATTCCAAAATTTTTCCATTTTTTGTCGATCATCGTATATTCTTCATTACAATAGCAAGTACATCATTTATTCTGATTTTCTTTTTCTTTTCCTTCTTATTATCTGGTATTACCAGATATAGTTGTAGTTTTCTACAACTAAACAGTGGTCCCAGTCGTTGTTTAGTTGTACATATTACTTCTCAATTTTTAATTAACAAGACAATATTTTATTCCCTAAAATTTTTAGATTTTTAGTCCAGTATTCCTCAGTATTTTCAGTATTTGGTGTCTGAACAATTTAATTCTTCACAATAATTCTTAATTCAATCTCAAATTTATTTTCAATTGATAATTGTGGAAAATAAACGAATAAAGCAATATTATTTTTTAATAAAATCAGATACATATAAAGACCATATGCTACGACTCGTACATGTGAACAGAGGAATAGATTATCCACAACATCATTATTACTGAAATTTGCACTATTGCTTCATTTATGAAGTGTTTATCCGCCAGCTTATCATAAATCCTGGCCGAATTCTTTGAAATTCGGTACGGTAGGTTATTCTGTGGAACATGAGTTTACACACGGTTTTGATACAACGGGCGCAAACTACGATAGCAATGGTGATGAACGATTTTGGTGAACGAAGAAAACTGAAAAAATATTCAATAATCGCACAGATTGTTATGTTCAACATTTTAATGACATTGTAATATTCGTGCCGCACTTAATTCGTACCGCAAATATATGAAGGAATTGAACAAAGAAGATGACCCGGTGACAGTATTCAAAGGTGAAGACATGCCAGGTCTAAATTTATCACCAGAATAAGTGTTCTTTGTAGGATTTGCACAATTGTGGTGTGCATCGTATAACGAAAAACACTATTGGGAGGAACTGACTGATGCAAACCCTAGTGACAAATATAGAGTTTTGGGTACATTAACTAATATGGAAGATTTCTCTAAGGTTTATGAGTGTCCACTGGGTAGTAAAATGAATAAGAAAAAAGAAAAATGCAAAATTTGGTGATCTGTTTAAAAAATACTATTATAAGTTTTGATGCACAATTATTTTGAAATAAAATAAATTTATTTAAATTATACATAATAAATAATTTATTCATATTTTTCTTTTTAATAATTTTATTTGCCATTTAATATAAAAGGTTAACATTTGAAATAAGGATTTAAGACAAACATTTATGAAATAAAATTACAAGTCAGTTCTTTGTGCACAAAGCCTTCTTGTGCTCAGTATGATAGTATGATACCACTGATAACCATTGTTTATACATAGACTAGACGGACTTTCATTGGCGTAATCTATTATAACATTTCTGTGCTAGATAAAGTTTCCCTCAAATTTTTAGGTTCGACAATTTTCTCTTTAATCTCCTGAATTAATCTATCGGGTAATTTACATTTTGTAAATAGTTGTGATACCCTTTCTGGTACTATGGTGGTGTAATTATGAGTTTATAACAGATCGTATTCTATTTCTGATTCGCCATCAACAGTCTCTAAGTGCACTGCTCTTCTGCAGTAGAACTTTAGTTCTACTGTGACTGGTGTAGTTTGCTTCTTGCAATATTTTACTATTACCAACAAATCGCACATCACGCCTAATTTATTATTTAAAATAGGCTATTTGTGCACCCCGACCTAAAAGATCTATTGTGCGCCTATAGGCCCAACTAGGACAATTTTAGACTATTTATAAATCTTATAATTGCAGTGGGCTTAATTTTACCTATTTGATTTGGGACCAGGATCCCGCTACCAAGGTAATCGAGTCTACGTCTTGCCGCCGCTGGGCAGTTGCATAGAACATGTTCTGATGTTTCCTTCTCTTCATGACAGAGTCGACAGGAATCACTTTCTACCGCACCTATAATCTTCATGTGGTAATTAAGTCTGTAAGAAATTCAGTGTAGATCAACTTTGATGTGTTCAGGATCAATAAATCTTTTTGACTGTCGCATGGCTGTTTGGGCTCTCCAATGTTCAAGTAGATGTTGTTAATCCTGTTCACATAATAAGCTATTTGTAAAGCTATTTGTTACCCCGCAGACCAATGAAAGGAGTTCACGCCTAATAGTAACTGTTTACCTTGTAGATCAAAACATCTGTTTGCTTTCGAATTTTCATCATAACCGACAAATATCATCTAATTTGCTGTGTTGTCTTATTTACGCCGGCTTTGACTTGGAGTATGAACAAAACATCTATTACCTATTACCAAAAAATTTTTGCATATTAAACTCAAGAACTTTATCGTTTTCTTTGCTGCGAATATTGGAAATGGTTAATGAGTTGATTTTAACATAAGACAAATTAACAATTCTATTTAAGCATATTCTTTATTTATGTCTAAAAATACGATGTAGATTACTGATCACACCAATTTTACATATACCTTTTGATTTTTCAACATTAGCAACAATAAAATCCGTATTTTCTTCATTGATTGTAGCAAAAAGCTCTATTATTACTTGCGACGTGACAGAAAGCACCAGAATCAATCACCCAATCGATTGATTTCATTCTTGGCGATATTACAAAATGAAATATTTGTCATTTTCATTAGCCTTAG